GGGATTGTTAATGACCACAGAGAGTCAGGACCTCGGTTTTACGTCTCATCCGAAGGACGGCGCCTGTTTACAGTCCAGTGTCCCCCGTCACTATACTGGGGCATTAGGACCCACATGGACCGCAGGGTGAGCGCCCCCTGCTGGTCCCACTAACACCTCTCCCAGCAGCCAGCTGTGAGTTGCAGGGTGATCTGGCTGCTGGCCATATAAAAACATACCTAGAATGACAAGTTCCACCACCTGAAGCAAGCGTCTGCTCTCTGTTAGGAGGTAACACACGTAGATCTGGCCATCGGAGAAGGTGGTGTTGTGGACGGTCAGAGAGAAGTCCCCCTGGCTGATCTTCTCTCGGGACATCTCGGCTCTGTCCTGAAACCCGTTGTCAGGATAGCCCTTCCTGCCCACGACCTCGTAGACGAGGTAATCCAGGGTTTCCCAGAAAACGTGGAGCACATCTTCAGGGATCCCAAGGCTGTAGGGTTTTCCGTCGCAGGGCAGAGTGACCGAATCCCCAAATTTCGCCGCCACCGGGACGTGTTCCGAGGAGACTGGGCGATGGGGGGGAAAGAAAGCAAGAACATGGGAAAGAATTTCGGAATAAATTCAATCCCATCCCTCCGTCTTCTGATCACTATTTCCAGGTCGGAGTTGCCGGGGATGGCAGAGCCTATCCCAGCATGCAACAGGTGCAAGGCAGGGTACAGACGCCAGGCACACGCTGGGGCAGACACACACTACTGGGGCAGACACACACTCACACCCAGAAGCCAGTTACACCAACCAGCGTGCGTCTGGACTGGTCAGAGGAAACCCGGGACACCACTAACCACAGCACCCAGTATATCCAACAGTACATCCATTCTGGAGCTGGTGGGCTCAGGGACACTTGCACTGTCCCATCAGCCAACAGGAAAGAGGATGAGGCTCATCTAAATAAGGGGTCTCCAACCCTGGTCCTGAAGAACCTCAATCCAGTGAGAGAAGTAGTCTGTGACCCCGGTCCAGTCAGTCCAGGGGGTCTGTGACCTCTGGTCCAGTCAGTCCGGGGGGTCTGTGACCTCTGGTCCAGTCAGTCCAGGGGGTCTGTGACCTCTGGTCCAGTCAGTCCAGGGGGTCTGTGTCCC